GGATACGACGCGGAAGATATGATTTTAATCGCCTTAAAACTCCAATTATTTTGGTAATTTTTGAGGTAATTTGAGCAATATGTTCATCCCACATCAAGCACTCGTCCAGCTCCAAGCCCAAGCATTTGTATTTTTTAACTCGCACAATGATATTGCCATCGATGGCCACTGTTGGTTGACTTGGTAAGGTAGCTAATTTGTGTCGAGTTGCGATGAACATGATTTTGTTTTAAGTGTATTTAGACTGAGCTTATTTATGTTAAGCCAATTTCTAAGCGAAAGTAAATCACTGTTCATTACGGAGAGTAGTTGATTAATGTCGTTATCCGCATATGTCAAGCTAGTATCATCAACATATAGATGTCCATCAGATATCAAGTTACAATTTGGTAAGTCATTAATGTACAACAAGTATAACAATGGTGCTAAAATGGATCCTTGAGGAACCCCACATGTAGTTTCAGAGCTATCGGATGGGATATTGTTAACAACAGTTATTTGAGTACGTCCCGTTAAATAATCGCGGAAAAGTTCAATGGTCTTGTATTTAAAACCATATCGAGATAATTTATTTAGAAGAATTTCATGGTCAATGGTATCAAAAGCTTTTCTTAAGTCAATAAAAAGTATAGCATTGATTAAACCATTGTCCATATTGAAAGACCAATTGTCAGTGATATCTAGCAGTGCTGTTAAAGTGGAATGCATGCAAAGGCCTAAAACCAGATTGGGCATCTGAGAGAAGATTGTTATTACATAGGAATTCATAAGTTTGATCAAAGATCACTTTTTCAAACAATTTTGCAACCACAGATAATACGGATATAGGTTTATAGTTATTGGGGTCCATTTTGCAATCTTCCTTATAAATAGGAGTAACCCTAGCTCTTTTCCAGTCATGTGGGACAGTGCCAGTATGGATTACCAAATTTATAATGTAAGTCAACGAGCTTATCGTGGTTGGCGCACTTGCTTTCAACAAACAAGCTGGAATGTTATCCAGACCATTAGCTTTACGTGTTGATAGTTTCTCAACCAACTTTGAAACTACTAACTCACTGACTATTAGAAGTTCAAATTCATTTTCAGGTTTGTTAATATGGTCATAGTTTGCATTTAAATTAACTGGGATTTTTGCCGCAAGTTTGGGTCCTATGCCAGTAAAGTGCCTTTTGAAGGCATTGCTTACCCCGAGCGGATCATTGATTACAGCATCATCAACGACGACTTTTTTCGTATGGGTAAGGTTTTTATTCTTGGATAGTATAGTATTTATACCATTCCAAGTTTTTTTGCAATCACCCAGATTATCATTAAAAAACGAGTTGTAATATTGTGTCTTATTTTCCCTAATTTTAAAGTTAACTTGGTTTTTAAGATTTTTAAAGTTAAACCAAGCTGATTCCTCGTTAGTTAATACAGCAATTCGTTTCAAGCGATCCCTCTCCCACATCAAATGTTTGATCTCAGTAGTTAACCAGGGTGCACAAGTTTTCCTAACTCGTCGTTTTTTAATTGGAGCATGTAAGTCTGCAATATTGAGAGATGTAGATTTCCAAAGATCCCATGCATTGACAGGATCAGTTACTAATGATATTGACTGCCAAGCAGCTAGGTCTATATCACGCTTAAAGTTTTCGATATTGAAATGCTTATAGTAGCGATTTTCTAGTATTTTGGGTTTTGATCTGCATCGGTCGCAATGTTTTCTTGAAGCATATATTAGACTATGGTCACTTATCCCAATATGTTTAACTCCTGATATGGAAAATTTATTTGGTTCATTTGTGAGGAGAAGATCAATTAGTGTGGACGAACTACTAGTGAGTTGTAATATTGTGTCTTATTTTCCTTAATTTTAAAGTTAACTTGGTTTTTAAGATTTTTAAAGTTAATTAAACCAAGCTGATTCCTCGTTAGTTAATACAGCAATTCGTTTCAAGCGATCCCCCTCCCACATCAAATGTTTGATCTCAGTAGTTAACCAGGGTGCACAAGTTTTCCTAACTCGTCGTTTTTTAATTGGAGCATGTTAGTCTGCAATATTGAGAAATGTAGATTTCCAAAGATCCCATGCCTTGACAGAATCAGTTACTAATGATATTGACTGCCAAGCAGCTAGGTCTATATCACGCTTAAAGTTTTCGATATTGAAATGCTTATAGTAGCGATTTTCTAGTATTTTGGGTTTTGATCTGCATCGGTCGCAATGTTTTCTTGAAGCATATATTAGACTATGGTCACTTATCCCAATATGTTTAACTCCTGATATGGAAAATTTACTTGGTTCATTTGTGAGGAGAAGATCAATTAGTCTGGACGAACTACTAGTGACACGCGTTGGTTCCTGGATAAGTTGACTATACTGGTACAATTCACATAAATCAAGTAAATGTTCAGTTGTATTATTATCGACATTGTTGGCTGCAACATTGCAATTTAGGTCACCAACAATAGTCGATGCGATGTTCAATTACTCGATTTTTTCAAGAATTGCATGAAATTTGTCAAAAAGTTCGACAGGTGAATTAGGGCCTATACCCGGTTGAAATAAGAAAAGGTTTAATTTTAGGTTTGGTTATTTCAATACACAGAAACTCAAGGCCATCGTCTTTAAGATCGTCACGGATTTTATACTCAATTGTACTTCGAATATATATTGCAACACCACCACCGTCTCTTGTTCGGTCACGGCGAATGATTGTATAATTATTAATGCCAATTTCAAGATTGCTTATTGTACCATTATGGAATGTTCCATTCAACGAGGCGACAATATAATACCAAAATAGACTAATATTAAAAGGTTTACTGTTGGCGCCCGCCATTTTGACGAGTCGTATTTGAATTAAATCCCATTTACTGAGTATCGAATATCGGGTTAAAATAAACTGTGATCATCGTACGAGAGGCATTTTGACGGATGCGATTTATCGAAAACACAAAGAGTGCAATGGAATAAAACGTATAGTGCAATTGCACTCGCAAAGAGTGCAATGGAACGTATTCCATTGCACTCTTGGGAAATGGAATTTTCTATTCAATATCACGTGACCATAAATAGCCAATTAAACGATAAGAATTCAATAAGGTATTATATAATACTGCAAGATAAACTGAATATAATATTAGTATAGTCATAATATAGTGTCCCCTGCAATTAGCCGGTTATACGTAAATGGCTGTATGATATATGACTAACTAACTAACTAACTAACTAACTAACTAACTAACTAACTAACTAACTAACTAACTAACTAACTAACTAACTAACTAACTAACTAACTAACTAACTAACTAACTAACTAACTAACTAACTAACTAACTAACTAACTAAGTTACATAAAAAACTTCCGCTTCTTACCCTTTAAGCACAATGTTTCATACGCAGCAAGATATTTTCCCACTTCGTTTGCAATATCCTTGCAACACTTGGGAGAAAGAGCGCTTCCAGAAGCGCATAATGTTTTGTTGGCTTCAACTTTCTTCTCAACTTCCGATTTTATCGACTCACAACAGATCGCGTCAGCAAGCTTTGTCACCGAAAACAAGCCAACGAAAACAAGCCAACTTGCTTTTGCCATTTTCCCAATTTAGTTGTCGTGTGATATATTTGAAAGGCCTACTCTGGGGCGGTAAATCGCCTTAAATCGCCCTAAATCGCCTAAAATCGCACTAAATCGCGGGTTAAAATTGTCGAATTTCTCCTAAATCGCCTAAAATCGCCTAAGATCGCTTAAAATCGCCAACATGCATTCTGCTTGATACATTCAGTCCATGTACTCAAGTTTATCAATTGCTGCTATTTTACGGGCAAGTCATGTAATCCAGGTGCTTTGCAATGAAAGTAATGCAACATGAATTAGCAATCAAATAAGTGGATTAGGCTGACAATATTTGGTCATTCAATAGGCACCGGTCATTGACAAAAACAGAGCCTTTTCTGCTTTATGCAGACTTTACAATAATTAGGTAATTCTGGGATCTGAAAGACCCATAGATCCGATACACTGCAAGCAACAAAATTGAGCTAGTTACCAGAATGAGCTAATTTCATTATTGGTGTAAATGGAGGCTGGGCTACAATTTATATGGACTATGGAGGCTGGGCAACAAATTAATCTATAATCTAGCTACATTACTGTTAAGCCTGGTTCACATGTCTGCGATATGCCTGCGACGTCATTGTTTACAGCTGTTGATGTATTCTTTTGTGAATTATTTGGTTGAACTGCTAAGACAATAGGCCGCCGACACATCGCAGACACATGTGAACCAGGCTTTAAGCCTGGTTCACACTGATCGTAATTCATCGACGATCTATTGTATTCTTTTCCGACAGAGAAAGCATTTTACACACCAATGATCACAGACAATGGAAATCCCCGATTCTTACGACCAGTGTGAACCAGGCATTAATTAGAACAACAGTAGGAAACTACGAAAGTCAATGAGTACGAGTGTTGATTTATATAATAAAGTCATCGTGTAATTTGTGCACTGTTGCATGTAAGATCGAGCATTGCATTGTATACAATGGTTGTACTTCGACATGTGCATGGTTATACCCTAGCTCCTATATAGTTATAATTATAGTGGCTATCAAACGAAAAATATACGTGAGGTTATGAGCGATTTGCAACTCTCGTCTATTAAATTTTCCAGACCTGTATATACAATAAACAGTAAAACAATGATTACATCTTACATACCATACAATAGATCTTTTGGTGTTGTTTGTTTGCAGAACCTAAAACCACGATGTAGTGCGCCATTTGTTTAACAATTAACGCTGTACTATTTTGGTTTTAATTTTAAAATAATTTAGAATTCCTACCATTTATATACGATATACTTCATGTAATTTAAACATTACGGCATTACTCCGACAGTTTCCGAATGCGTGACGACACTGTTTCTGGATATGGCACTGGGATATCATATGTAGATATAAAAAAAATTATAAATATGTTTGTAGCATGAAGAAAGCACGAGATTGAAACAGTTTAAATAAAATGCAAGCTAAATAAAGAAGTTTTGACATGATACAAAACAAGACAATTTCACTTACAAGGGTGACAAGGTAAATTATGGGATTATAGCCTATTCAGTTATACTGTATAAATACATTGTGTGTTTCTACCCCCTACCCCTTGTGATTTTTTTTGAAATCAAATATTTATTATATTTTGCAATTTTAACTCGATATGTGTAGTGCATGCCCCTTAAGTAGAGTTTTGTCCGTTAAACGTAAATTGGGAAAGTTTTAACTGGACTTAGCTGAATATTTTTCCCAAAATTCTTGGCGAGGGGGGGGGGGGTCACCAAAAAAAATTTTCAGGAGATATCAAAGAAATATTCCGTAATTTCCGCCAAATCCGAAAAATTTTTCACAGAATATTGAAATATTTAGGTTTTGACCAATTTCGCATTGATTTTTGCCCGACCGTTAAAATTTTGGGAGACACATGCTAATTTTCCAGTAGACCCAGTTGGGAAAGCCCTCAATTGGGAAGACTCCGTCAAACGGACAGCATATGGGCTAACAAACACCCTGCTATGACCCCCAAGATGAGCCCCAATGGCTTCTAAATAGAGAATGGGTGAAAAGTTCATGAATATTGAGCTTTATATGTGAATCAGGTTAAATACAATAGTTAACCTAGCTTTATATAAAATGTACATACATGTTCTAATAATTGTATTTTGCTTCATACAATGCATATGCGTGTGGAAACATTACATTATTATTCAGCTCACTCCCCACATTGGGGCTTTTCAGTGATCGATTACATCAAGTACTATGATTACTTATGTTAGCCTAGACTATTTATCTTTGCAACAATGAGGATATGATATTACTTTCCTAACTGTGTTTATCCTAACCCACCCTGCCAATTTTGCCCTGTGGGAGGAAACCGGAGCAAAATATAGAATTCAATTCCTTTGAAAACACCTAAATTGCAATCCCTAAAATTTAGAATTTTTTCTTAAATAGCCTAAAATCGCACTAAATCGCAGTGCTTGAAAGTCCCAGTTTTTCCTTAAATCGCCTAAAATCGCCCAAAATCGCATTATATCGCAGCGATTTAAGGCGATTTACCGCCCCAGAGTAGGCCTTTTGAACGTTGGTGCATGTTTGAAAAAAATCGATTTGCGTATCCGCTCATATAACGTAATCACTTGAACTGCTGAAGCTTAAAAGTCACGTGGCCAAGTTACACCAATGATATTTATTCGTTGGGAAAATACGGAATAGAAATACATTTGGGTTGATATGCAAACAGTTAGACCTGCACGTGCGTGACTACATGTACACTGTTATTTTTATACCGCACATAATTCCTTTAACAAATATTTTGCAATTATATTCATCAATAGATTAATTCCATTTCAGCATCATATTTAATTAAGATGTTCATGAAATATATGGAGAAAATCGGGCGTGTGAAATAAACAAGTCTG